TATTAAAAGCGCACTAAAATCGAGAAAAGTTTATTTCAAAAGTTGCCGGTTGTTTTGCAATAACAATACTTTGCAATTAAAAAATGAAAAAGTTTTTGATAATGGTATCAATAGTGAGTCAGAACCTACCAGATGCAAAAGGTTTCATTCTGATTTCTCAAGGTTTCTGATTTCTCAACCTTTCTCAAAGGTTTTTCTGATCGAAAAAAATATACTGATCGAATTGAGTAACCTCCTCCTTTTTCGAAGTCGGTTAAAAAGGTTTTATTTTTGCAATACATTTGTCTCACCGATATGTTACTGTTTATTTATGTTTGGCCTCCTCTCGCTGTTCTTATCCATATTCGGTAAAGCCTTTATCTATATAGGACCTGTACGATGTACGTAAGTTTTGCTAGCTGTTCTTTTCTGCAATCGGTAAACCATCAATCAAATGGGACTAGTAGATAAGCGTAAAAGTTCAAACCCAAAAGATTTGCATAAATCGAATAATTACTGTAATAGAATATTCTGACACTATTTAACGAATTGAAAATGAAACACTATGTATATGTATTGTATACGATTATAAATTAATGTAAAAGTAATTTAAAATTAAAAAACAACTTCTCATATTCGTCTATATTCTCAGTTACAAGTTTCCTTATGCCTATTTATTATGTAATAACATGACTTCATTTTGCACTGTTTCGTTTAATACTTTGTTTTTGATGAACTGATCGTGAGTACTAATTGTAAGCGGAACATTTCTATACCTTGATTAGCCTTCTAATTTTGTGCTTCGAATAGGTTGTTCATCTAGCATATATCGATCCGCCAGGAAATCTTTCTTTCATGAGATGTACGAATTTCTCAAAACTATATTTTTGTCAGAGTTTGTATATTTACGCTATTGTACCTGAGGTTGTTTCTAAACTGCGTATACTTAATATAATACATGCGGTATAACTGATTGTATATTCAAAATATTGTTAAACTATTATATTTAGACATATTTTTACAGATCGAAATGCAATAAGTGTCATTCTATATCAAAGTTCTAGAACGCGGCCGTGCGATAGTCATCGGATGCAGACAATCTTATTCTTTACAAATCTCATACATTGGAAATGTATGCAGCTAATTGCTGCAGAGTTGTTCAGTAACTCTTTTACCTGAAATGGTGTAACTACCTCCATTACTCGAGAATTAGAAGTTTCCTAACTGAACCATATGCGCATATTTCAACTGATCTCTACGAATCTGTTTTGCTAGTGTTAAAATGAATGAAGGTACATGGAATGAAATCTAGTCGAAATTGAACATCGATTTTGTTTATTTACATCCTATATCTTCTTTGCGGAGTACTATAGTATTACTTCTTAAATTTGATTGTCACCGACCGAAATAGCATGAACAACTTCTAGAATAATGTAATTATAAAGTCTATAAACACTATACAGGTCGGCAATACACATGCACAAGAGACATTCGACGTACAATAAGGAACTTCATCTTACTGGTAATTCAAAATCATAATATCAAAAACATTAACTTTAACTAGTTTAATGTGTTAAAATTCCATATTGTACTTTTAACCGATTCATATGTCTTCCAAAAACCAGTTGAAATAAGCATTAGAAATGATAAGTAAACATACGATCATAAACTTACCTGGATATGGAAGTAAGACAATTCTTTGATAAATTCAGAAACCTTAAGTTAGTCGTATCGGAAAAAATTCTATCTGGTAGTGTAATTAATCTATTGGAATTTAGACTTAGGTAAGACAATTGTTGTAGTCTTTCAAAAAGACGTTTAGGTAGCGTCTCAAAATAATTTTTTTCTAAATCAATATAATGTAACGATATTAAACCCCAAAACAGGTCTTCAGGTATCGTGCTCCAACCGTTGTGATTCAAACCTATAGCCTTCACACGTATCAAATTTGCGAAAAACTTTTGGGGCAGAGATATGTTTCTGGTATTATGTGACAATTCAATGCCGAGTAGACGAGAATTATGCTTTAGTATACCTTCTGGAAACGAGATAAAACTGTTATTCCTTAACTTTAGCCATTGTAGACTTTCCAGTTTTGCGAAAATGTTCTCCGGCAAAGTGTTTAAATTACTCGACCTCAACTCCAGACGCGTCAAAGACGCGAGTTTATCAAATATCCCAGGTTTCAGTTGTTTATCTGTGAAATTGTTTATCCGCAAGCTCAGCACGCGCAATTCCGTCAACGGATCAAATATGCCCGGCTCGAGGTTCATCATGCTACCACTTAAGTGAAGTCTTCGGAGTTGTCGTGTATTATTAAAGAATCCCAAAGGTAAACAGGCTTTATTATGTTTCAAAGAAAAATGAGAAAGCTGTGGTACACCTCCGAATAGGTCGGTGCTCAAATTTGTAAGATCGTTGCTTGATAGCGTGAACCTTTCCAGGTTCGGAAACTCTATCAAATGGTTTCTGACGATGGCACCGCTCCAATTATGCAGCTGTAAATTATAAATGTTCTTCCCGTTGAATTTACTCGAAAGTTCACTTATGCTCGAGTTCATTGGCAGACCGCATTCCGATATTTCCATCACCTTTATGTGCTTTCTCAGGAATAAGTTGAAGAAGTAGAATGGGGGCCATTGCGGATAATTTTGACATTTAATCTAAATAATTGAAATTGTTTTTTTATTGAAACGGATAATATTAATCTTAGTAATTTGAACTGAACAGTGTTATTATAAGTGTTATAGAAATATATGATAAAACACGGGCTCTGTCAGGATTGGAACGAAAGGTGTCACACGTTACATTCTGGTTTGAATAAAATTTTGCATAGTGAAATACCGACTACTCTGATATACGGAAGCTGTTACGTAAGCTGTGTGTCTATCTCTATGTTGGTGCTGCACGTTTAAGCGTAGTTCGCGACTTCCGTGAAGCGAGAGAACAGCTTTGTTGCCTATAAAATGCTTTTTATTTGGTAGCGCGCTAGAACTTTCCGAAACTCAAAGTCAACGCGAAGGAGAATCATCGTACGAAAACTTCACTTTGATCTATTTCCACCTTGCGCTCTGATTGGTTCGTGTTTTTCCTTAAATAACACAAAAACGAAGCTTCAAACCCCATTTTTGCAAAGGAAAATCTTGTTCAGAATCACGTTAGCTACCCCCAATTTCCGGAACTTGCACTAGTTGTGAGACACCTTGTATACGAAAAGCAATGAACAAACTTATTCTACGAACAAAATCGATACACATCTAATGGCTATAAATACTCTGTAATACCTTTTTCAATGCACTCAAGGAATCTAGTAACAGAGCTGTTTAGTCGTCAGTATTTCGGAAATATACTTCTACATACATCCAAACCCACGTGTCAGTGATATTGGTATTTCAAACCCTAATATTGTAGAATGTTAAAATGACCACGTTAAATTTGGAGACTTTTTTTCATTAAAGTAATCCCGACCCTGGCAGAACCTCCATTTCCCTTCCTTACTGCTGTATCGATTCAGGAATTGTAATTTTTCGCTATTTAATATACAATTTTGGAAAAGTGTATAATTTAGTATTTATACTTATGTTTACATGAATGTTATTTCCAATGGTTTTCACAAGGAAGCCTGAGGTGTTTCCTGGGGAGCAGTTCCAAACTCCTCTATCCACTGGTAGGCATGAAAATGCATATGATTCGCTGTATACAGTGAGAATGATTGAAAAAATGATCCCAAACGTACGAATCATTTGATAAATTCTTATGTAACATCGATACTTTCTGTAACAGAAAATTAGACGATCCCTTGCAAAATTTTGCGTCTTATAAGTAAGTTCTAAACTGTGTATCTGACTTACGCTGAAGATAGAGGCAAATATGTACATACATATGCTGTCAACTTCAGAAGATTGCAGCTGATAGTCATTGTTTATGAAAAAGTTACAAATAAAAAAAGATTGTAAAACATAGGTTACATAAATTACTTAAACTGGTCATATTGGGTTAGGTTAAGTTTGTTGACAAGCCTCCTTCTGTAAACAAGTTATGCTGCAGAAGAAGACCGCGGAGCGCGTCCATGAATGAGGGATCCTGCGTAGGAGTGCTAGAGAAACGACAACACCCCGCGACCGTTGACTCATACATGGTGTGTTTTTTTAAAGAAATTTATTGAACCAATTTTTACAAACTCTCAAAATTCTTCAAAGCACTGCCCTTGGGCTTCTGCACATTTTTGCCAGCGGCCCTGCCATGAACGATACGCGTCTTGGAATGCGTTTTCCAGAACCTCTTTTAGGGCCTCGGTCACGGCCGCTTGGATCTCTTGTATCGATGAGAAACGAGTTCCTTTCAAGGGTGCCTTGATCCGGGGAACAAAAAAAAGTCTGCCGGGGCCAGGTCAAGACTATAGGGGGGTTGGGGAAGCGTTAACACCTTGTTTTGGGCCAGAAACTCACGTACTCGCAGCGCGTTGTCGTGATGCGCTATCCACGTAGCGGAGATGTGTTTTCTCGTCCTGACGACCCTTTTTCGCAGTCTTTCCAACACATCCACGTAGTAGGCGGTGTTAACTGTCTGTTCTTCAAGAACAGACAGTTTTGCTGGTTGGTGGCTGCCCAGAGCGTTAATCGTTGTGAACCTCTTCCCGCCCTTCCTTAAAGGCTTTTAACCACCTCGAAACTTATGAATACGACAGAACAGAGTCCCCATAAGCCTCACGAATCATTTTAGTTGTCTCCTCAAGAGATTTGTTTAGTTTAGCACAAAAGTTTTATCGCGTATCGTTGTTCCGATCGTCGACGCCACTTTTTCCGTGACACGGTCACCAAACAGGGGGTCACAAAAATTCACGGCCTGTCCCTTTCACAGCTCGAAGAGCTTTGGGACCAGATTCGTTGGTAAGCTTAGGGTCCCCCGCATCTAATCCACGTGGTCCCATCCACCTCCGACCAACAGGAGCGGCGCAGGAATTTCGATTGCATTACTTTCGGAACACACCATGTGTATGGGGGGAGCAGTTAGGGCCACCGTAAGCCACAACCAGACTGTCCCAGATGAGGGTGGCAGGCCAGCGGTACCTCGTTCCTATCATAAGTCTGCCGGCCTTCCAGGCAGCTTCATCAGTGCCGGCGGGCAAACGGCAGCTCTTATAGAGCCGTCACAAGGGCAGTGGCGTCCTGAATGAGGACAACCTGCACGCTGCCCCGTTGCCTCGGTGGTTCGAACACCGCCGTAAAGATTAATTTTGTTTTACGGGGGAAGGTCGGAAAGACTTCCCCGGGATGACATTTAATGGCGCAGGGTCCCGAATCATGTTCTTCAAAAGTTCCTGGGATCCCCTCATGCCTCGGGGAAGGATCACCGTGGGGGATTTAGTCAATAAGAATTCAAAATAACCCCGTGCCCCTAAAGGAGGAATCTTTGGAACATTTCCCCCTCGTAAAAAAAAGGTATGTTGTGTGACGTGGTATTTTATACCCGTCACAAGGAGCCTCCTCGGGAGACCGGACAGGTCATAGGTCGCCGTCAGATACCGTCTAGAGAGAGAACGAAGCGCGTATAATATCGTAAGAACAAATTCTGCCGCTATACTATTTTATATGTACCGCCGGAGAATGACGTCACGGTCAACGAAGGAGCGACGTACGTCGAGGGAAAACGCCGCTGCTCTGCCGCTACCCCGCTCGGACCCTCCGATAGACGAAGAGAGGCAGCGGAGTAAGAGGAGAGAACCCAGCGCAATACCGACGTACGCCGAAGGAAAGTGCCGATTCCCTGCCGCTTCCCCGCTCCGGCCCTACGATAGAAGAAGAGAGGCTGCGGAGACGGAAGAAGCCCTGCCGAAGAAGACTTCGATAGAATTCGGAAACTCCGGCAGAGGGTGGGGGTAGGCTACGAGGTGTCCTAATACCGGCG